TTTGCTAAGCTTGTTCTAAGTAGGTGCTTTAGACCACTGAGCCATCTCACCAGCCCTGAAGTGACTTTTTGTTTGTTTTTGTTTTGGTACTGCCAGGCGGGCACTGTGCTGCTGAGCTATTTCCCCAGCTTTTTTTTTGAGACAGAGGCTCACTGTGTAGTTCTGGCTGGGCTTGAACTCACTTTGTACCACAGGCTGGTCTCAGACTCTCAGCATTCTTCTTGCCTCAAACTCCTGAGTGCTGGAATTACGGATGTATGTGTTTCTGTCTTAATATTTAGACCTTTTATCCATTTCTATCTTAGTTAGGGCTTGGTGAGAAATAGGGGTCTAGGTTCAATTTTCACACGTAGAAAGCCAGTTTCCCCTGCAGCATTTATTAAAGAACCTGTCTTTCTCCCAGGTATTTGGCTCCTTTGTCAAAGATAAGGGAGCTGAGTATGCTTGGGGTTGTTTCTAAATCTTCTGTTCTGTTCCATTAAGGTTTTTATTTCTTCGTTTTTGCCAGTACCACACTGTTTTTATCATGTAGCTTTGTAGTATAGCTTCACATTTGGGATTGTCTTGCTTTTGTTGTCCAGAATTGCTTTTACTATTTCAATGTCTTCTGGCTCCAGAAGAATTTTAGGGTTGTTTTCTCTAGTTCCATGAGGCACTTTGGTACTTTGATTTGGATTGTATTAAATCTGCACACCAATTTTGGAAGTATGACCTTTTTTTTTTATATAATATTCGTTCTGTCTGACCAAGTACAGCAGATATAAGGCCAGTTGTGGTGATGCACACCTGTAATTCAAGCTTCAAGCACTGATTTGTAGACTGAGACAGGAAGATTGCTTGAGTTTGAGTTCAGGGCTGTATTTCTGATATCCTCTTCAATCTCCTCTCTCAGAGTACTGTAGTTTTCTTTTCCTTTTTTTTTTCCCCGCAGAGCTGGGGATTGAACTCAAGTCCTTGCGCTTGCCAGGCAAACACTTACTTTACTGAGCTATCTCCCCAGCCCCAGGACTATAGTTTTCAGTGAAGATCTTTTACTTCTTTTCTTAGATTGATTCCTCAGTAAAGTGTTTCCCTAATTTCTCTCAGTGAGTTTGTTATTTGTGTATAGGGATGCTATTGAGTTTTGAGTGTTGGTTGTATATCCTGTTATACCACCAAATTTGGTTATTGTAAGAGTCTTTCTGTGGAGCTTTTGAGGTCTTTTATGTAGAGATTCATGATACCTGCAAATAATGATAATTTAACTTCTCCCTTTCCTGTCCATATTTTCTTTTTTTTTTAATTTTTTTTAAATTTATTATTTATTTATTTGTGTGTGTGTGGCCAGCTCAGCCCACCAGGAGGCGGGGCTGGCTG